AATTTACCTACGGATTTTCATCCGTGGGTAATATCCGTAGGTAATGTAAAATTTACCTACGGATTTTTATCCGTAGGTAATATTCCGTAGGTAATAGGCTTTTTTTTTGTAGTGTATGGACAATAGGGTTAGCCTAATATATAGTGTTTTTATTTGTTGTTTTGTTGTACACATGTTTATTAGTATTTTATAACATGATCTCATGATATACTTTCTTTACTCATTTAGTTCATGCAAGTTACTTGTCAGCACAATGTATGATTGTTGTTATTTCTACGGTTGTTACATCTTCTACGTTCATATTCGAGTAGAAAATTATTGAAGGATGATTACCTTAGCAAAAGGTTTTAATTTTTGATAGAATTAAAAGTTAAGTCTCTATATTTATTAAATCCTAGATTTTCACATGTCTAGTTCGTCTTATTTATTTTTATTCTATATTCTTTTTAAAAATAATATTATATAAATTATAATAAATTATTTTTAACATTATTTTTCATATATTTCTCATACGAGTGAAGTGAATATATATTTTTAATTTTATAATTTCTAAATTATTATTATTAATTAAGTGTATATTTTAATTTATTGTATTATAATTCTTATGAAAAAGAATATTTGTTATTATATTCTCCCTCTTTTTCAAATTATTTCACATTTTCTTGAGAAAAATTTGTTTGTAAATATATAAAGTTAGTAAAATTTAAGATTGTATTAATTACCATTTTATCAATTATGTCCTTATTTTTATATTATATTATTGTAGAGAGAAGATAACAAGTTATTAAAGGTGACTTTGGATGGAGAGAGAATATCTAAAGATATCATTAAAAAAAACTAAAAAATTATTGAAAATAATAAAAATTAATGCTCATATTAAATTTGTATAACCCAAGGACTTATATTTAGAAACAAAGGGCTGAGGAATTATGTAACATTATGTGGCTATTATTATATAACATGGCTATTATTATGTAACATTATTATAAGTAACAATCTCTAATTAATTAATATAAGATCAATCTCAATTAATGTTAAGTAAAATATGATCTACAAGACCTTACAACTAAAGTTCACAGTGATTGTCTATCGAGAGTAAAATAGATTTGCAATTAAAAGAAATTATCAAGCACTTAGTCATGACTAAACAAGCAGAGTGACTAACTTGTAAATGTGGAGAGTTAATATAAATATTTATAAAATAGATATTAAATTCACCATAAAATTAAAAAAAGAAGATAACATATAGTGAAAGCTCTAATTGTAGAGTCTATAACTTCAACCAAGGCATTTTTGTCATAATATTGACGTTCATCGTGGACAAGTGATATTGCTCTTATTTTAGTAAACATAAGTGATTAAACACAAGTGAAGAGGAATTATATGCAAAATTTTCCAACTTAATGGGAGAAAGATATCTCAACTTTGCAACAAATACAAGTTGTGTTCAACTTAATCAATATGGTCTCCAAAATGGCATATATGATCTCCCTATGACTAACCGGATGAGTATGATTTGAAAAATATTGACTTGATATGATATCTAAATTTATAATCTTAAATTATCTCTTTATGACCAACTTGATCAGTACGATTTTCAAAAATGTTGACTTCATGTGATCTTCCATGTTTGACCTACTTAGTATGATTTCTAAAATGTTAACCTAATGTAATTTACCTAGGACCAACCTGAGAAGTATGATAATGACTTGATATGATTTGCTTAAAGTTACTTCAATGACCTTTTATTTTCTAATTCAATCTTCTCTTCAAATATTTTGTCCAAAATCTTTCCCTGTTAACCTTATCCCTTTCCCTGTAAACCGACTATAAAGACAACCTAATTAGAGAATCAATACGAGGATCAAATTCATCTTAATAAAAAGAGAAAAAACAACACATAGTGAAGGCTCTAATAATAGAGTCTAGAACTCCAATCAAGCTTTTTTTATCAAAATACAAAATTGTAATTATTTTTATTATTACCGTTATTTAACTTTTTAAATAATTTTTATAATAATTTCAATATTTTTTATAAATCTTTTAAAAAAATATTTAAATTACCTAAAAATATTATAATTTAACATATTATATTTATAAAATTTTGAAGATAATTTTTCAAATGTTATCAAGAGTCTTAGAATAAAATAAAAATATTGTTTACAAAAATAATTAAAAAATATCTAAAAATAGATAAAAATCTTTTTTATGTGTTTTTTTTTTGTTTTACTCTAATTTGGTATTATACCGTGATAGATTTGAAAAAAAAAAAAAAAAAAACAGAGAGACGCCTCTTAATTGGTAAAGGTGTTTATTCTCTATGATAAATTTATTTACCATTTTTTAAAATTTTCTCTCTTTTTCTCTTCTTCCCAATTTTCTACCACTCACCCATACCACAAAAATTTTACTTTACTTTTTATTTATTTTAATTCTTACGTTACACATTAGATTTTTTTTTCTAAGGTATGCTCATTTCTTCTTCTAAGATATAAAATATCTTATTTTTTTAATAATAAAAAAATAATAATTATTATTTAACCTTTTTAATAATTTTTTCTAATAATTTAAATATTTTTTATAGGTCTTTAAAAACATATTTAAATTACTTAAAAATATTATAATTTAATATATTATATTGGTAAAATTTTCAGATGTAACGATTCTCTAATATTTTTTTCTTATCTCATTCAATTTATAAATTTGAAATTCAGAATTTCAACATAAATTATTCACTATAAATTATGTTGAAATTATTTTTTATTATGAATTTAATTACAATATTATTTTTATATAAAATATATTATTTATAGATTGGAGTTATATATAAATAAATATAGCGTGTATTTGTGTATTTTTGAAACTAACACAAAATATTATTATATAAGATATAACTGACTCTGATAGTAGTTATTTTTATAGAAATATAATTTTTATTTTATGAGATAGAAAAAAAAATTGATTAAAAGAATGATTATCTCGAGATATTGGTGTAAGATGGAAACGATTTTAAATTTCAATTTATTTTTAAAATTTATATTCACACGTCATGTTTTATCACAAAATATTTTATTCTTACTAACAAAAGAAAATATTTTTTAAAATTAATTTCTAGAAGCAGTTAATTTTAAATCTACAGAAGAGATTTATTAATTATTATTTTAGTTTTTTAAATTTGGTTTCAATATATTTTTTAATTGTCTAACGGACTTAATCAACTATCCTAATTTTTTTAAAATAAATTTGAATTTGGATATAATTTATTGAAAGTATATATTTTTAATTAAATCTTTACGTCTATTAATATTTTATATTTAAAATTTAAAATAAAATATGATTCATAATTATTTGATAATTTATCGTTAAATCTTTTAAGTGTTATATAAATAAAGACACAGTAAAAAAAGTTACGTTGTCAAAGAAAAAGAAAAAAGATAAAAAGATAAAAAATAAAGTTTTTTTTAGTATCTTTTTTTCAACTTTAACTTGGAAAGAGTATTTGAATTTCATTCATGAACCATTAACATTATTATTGTTGTTGGAAGAAAACATTCAAATTCAAATTCCACTTTTATCATTCATAAAGACGAAGTTGTCACACCCTCAAACTAATTTTAGGATTATTTTATTATAAAAGATAAAGTGAAGATGAACACAATTAATATACGTATTTTTATTTGAATATTTAATTGAGAAATAATCAGATGTTTTCTAAAATCTTGTTTCTGGTTGGATTTGAAAAAAATATGGACATGCATAGACAAATATTTCAAGAAATATGGTGAAAACAAAAATCCCAGCTCAGTTGCAAGTATGCATAAAAGTATTTCAAACATTTGAATTCAGCCAATAAAAGCAAAAGAAGAAATATCTGCGACGTGAGATCACGAAACAAAGAATCACTTCGAATTATTCAACAAAAGGAAGATCATTTATTTAATCTTATTTTTTTATGACAGAGAAATTATTTTATAAAATATGAGATAAGTATGATATGATCTATAATTGACGTTGATGTTATGGTTATTTTTAATAAAATAGTAGTTTTTGGTGGAAAAGTATTTAATTTTGAAAAAGAAATAAAAAATTAATGAATTTTACATCATTGGTTAATTACAATTATAACAAGTGAGCACAATTATTACAAGTGAGCATGATGAATAAATTTAAAATATTTTCAATAACTATTGATGTAGTTATAATGAAACTAATATTAGAATCATTAAGTTTAATTGTCATCCATAATTATTAATTAACTTATTAAATTTTAGATTTTTATTCTATATAAATTTTAATTAATTTATATATTATGCTTAATAAATAAAATAATGTTCTTTAAGAGGAATGATATTTAAATAATTTCAAAACATTATGCCAACATTTTCTATTTAATAATATAATTATAACAATAAATATAAATATTTAAAATTTTATTAATATTATATTAATAATTAAAGATGTTGAAAGGTTGTTTATTTTGAAGTTCGGTTAACAAATCATTACTTTTTCTCGTTAAATTTAAACATAAAAATAGTTAATTAATGTGATGGAAAAGAAAAATGATTCTTTAATGCATTTCAATAGGAAACAAACAGATGATACAAAGGTGAAGAAGTTACTCGGTTACAACAAAGATTTGTTAATGTAGGAATGATTTGAATATATTAATAGTTATCGGAATATATTAATTATTAGATTTTGTTAAAATTGGAATATATTAATTATTTGTTAACATAAAAAGTGGAATATATTAATTATTAGATTTTGTTAAAATTGTTATCGGAAAAAATTCTATATATTTGCATAGTTAATTTTAATTCGTTCAAAAGAAAAATGTTGAGAATACCTCTCTTGTCATTTTCCTTGTTTTGTTTGTATTCATTTCTGCTTCACATTTGAATACATACCCTTTATCGACACAAAAGAGTTGGATTATAGATGAAGGCACAGGGCAACGTGCGAAGTTGGTATGTGCCAATTGGACTGGCCACCTCCAACCAATGATTCCTGAGGGTCTTGACAAAAGACCCTTGAATGACTCGTTGGTGAGATTGTGGAACACAAGTTCAACTGTGTGCGTCTCATCTACGCAATCTACATGTGGACACATTATATCCACGACAATGTCAATGTCACGTTTACCTCTTTGGATGTACCAGGCGTGGTCCAAGGTATTGCCAAGAAAAACCCTTTTGTGTTATCCATGACACATGTTCAGGTCTTTGATTCTGTTGTTCGTGAACTTGGGATTCAGAATGTGAAAGTGTTGCTTGATAACCACGTGAGTGAGCCAAAGTGGTGTTGTAATGACGATGATGAGAATGGTTTCTTCCATGATAGACATTTTAATCCTCAAGAAAGGGTGCATGGCCTTACTCTGGTAGCCAAACACTTCAATGGAAACCATGTTATATGTATTTTTCTCTTTTCCTCAAACAATCTATATTATAGTTTTCTTAGCCTTTTAAATAAAATAATGGATATAAAGTATTATTTTGTGTATGCTAACATATTGTGGCAATGAGCTTGAGGAATGAATTGCATGGTCAACGCTAAAATTTGTATGACTGGTATAGGTACATGAGCAAAGCAGCAGTGTCTATACAAAAGACAAACCCAAAAGTGCTTGTGGTTATTTTCGGATTGAACTATGATACTGAGTTGCAGTTCTTGAAGAGTAAACCATTGAAGATAGATTTGGGTAAGAAAATGGTGTTTGAGACACATTTGTATTCATGGTCTGGAATTGGAACACTGAAATTGAGAGAGATATGAACAAAGCAACCAGTGAATAGGATATGTGCCAATAACATTAAAGGGATAGAGGACAGAGCTGGATTCCTCACAACTGGCAATAATGCAGTTCCTTTGATTTTTACAGAGTTTGGGTTTAACGAGGTAGGTTCTTCAATGGTTCTTGACATGCCTTCAAACTTATCTTGTTGGGAAAGATTTGGAATGGGGTTTATGGGCTTTTCAGGGTAGCTACTATTTAAAGAGTGACACGGTCCAAGTTGAGGAGTCATTTGGTGTAATGGATGACACTTGGCACCACCTGAGAAATCCCAACTTCACTCTAAGTTCCAACTTTTGCAAAGGAAGAATCTAGGTATGGCTTTGGAGTTAAACGAATGAGTTTGGTGATGATGCATTATTACATTCATAACCATGAATATAAATTATTTTTGTAATAACATAACTTGTGTGTCTTTATGCATAACCTATCTCCAAGGCCCCCATTGTAAATATATTGTACCACCCATTATCAGGTGAATGTGGTCAAGTGAATGAGAAGAGTGAAGTTGAACTTGGTAGCTATCAGACCAAGAGCATATGGGTTCATGGAGGGAATGGAACTGAAATCCTTTTATATGGCACTAAGAAGTGCTTAACATTAGTCGGTGAAGGGCTTCCGGTTGTAGTTTCTGATTGTGAAAGCAAGAACAATTCTTGGAAATCTGTATCACTGTCTAAACTTCACTTGGCTACTATGACTCAGTATGAGGAACAACTTTGCTTGCAGAAGGATTTTGACTCATCCACCATTATCACTTCAAAATGTATCTGCATAGAAAATGATTCTCTGTGTCTTGATGATCCTCAAAGCCAGTGGTTCCAGCTTGTTCCCACCAATATGTAACTCCGGACAACTGATTTAAGAGTTTAAGATAGCATTGCAAAATCCTTTTATATTGCTTCTTTATATTTTGTTTTAGTATTATAAAAAATGGTGTGTTCACAAGTAATTAATTTTAAATATTATTATATAATAATAAAATGATTATATCTATGTTATTATTATCAAAAGATTAACTTTATTTTTTTAGACTTTTAATTTTCACTTGAATTTGAGGAATTATGTAATATTATATCGCTAGTATAAGGACCAATCTCTCTAATTAATCAATATAAGATCAATCTCAATGTTTTAAGTAAAATATGACCTATAAGACTCTACAACTAAAGTCCACAATCATCAATTAACAGTAAAATATGTTTGCAACTAAAAGAAGTTATCAAGATCTTGGTCATGACTAAACAAGTGGACTGACTATTTGGCACTATAATCAATGTGGAGAGTTAATAGAAAAATTTATAAATAGACATGAAATCCATCATAAAAAAAATAAAAAAATACAAAATACAATGAAAGCTCTAATAGGAGAGTTTAAAACCTCAACCAAGCCTTTTTTTTTGTCAGAATATTAACATCTATCGTGTTCCACTTTTGAAAATGTTACCAAATCTTACTTTTAATTCAATTTGATCCTGATAATATAGTCTCATCATACTCATTATCTCCAATTATTGATGAGACTTCATTTGGTGTAGGAGTAGGAACATCGAGGTTGAGATTTTCTTTTAACAATGGTTCCTGTGTACTTGCTTGTGTTGCTTCATTATTTTTCATTATATAAAAAAAATCCCTATCACCATAAACAAGATATGTATTATTTATTGCCTAAATATTTTTTCTTCTCTATCATGTTTTTCTCTGTTTATTATAAAAAAAATAAGACTTATGTTGGTCACAAAAGATAAAAAAAATAATAATTATTTAATTAACATAAGATTTGATATATAATAAATAAGAATAGTAAAATCTAGAAAACATGATATAACAAAAACCTAATATAAACAAACTAGAAATAAAATGATACTAAGATTGATGTACATATTTGGAAAAAGATACATAAGTAAAAAATTACCTTATGTGTTTGACAAACTGGTTGAAAATATTGGAGAAGTTGATTAGAGAAGTCAAACTAGTTAAAGAGATAGGAGAAGTACAATGCGAGTTGAACTGAGACTAGTTATGAAGAGATTGAAAAAGAAAAAGAAATTAATAATAGATGGTGTAACCCCCTTACTCGATTACATTTATTAATCCTAATTTATTATTTAAGTTAGTAATATTTTCAATATTCATAGAAGGTTAATAGAAAATATACCAAGTGAACAATTTATTTAAGTAAAGTTTTATATTAAATCAAGCAACAAGTTCTATAACAAAGTTTTCAAAATATTACAAGTCATAAAGTTATATTTATATATTATACAATTCTCAACCTAAGCTCGGATTTTTGCATCTGACATCTATCTCTTGAATTATGTATTCCTGCATCATACGTCACCAACATCTCGGAATTGAAATATTTATGGGGTTAGACATTTAATTTTATCCACAACAAATAAAGCAAATATTTATACGATAAAATCAACCAATGAAACATCCCTTCTAATAAATATACAACCATATATAATTTAATTTAAAAATTAATTATGAGAAACAAATAAATAAATCATGGAATCATAATAGAGAATATCGTACAAATCATGAATAATCTACAATTTTATCATGCAATATGTTTATGATATGCACATGTGACTCCAAACGTAAAACTTTAAAATCATGCTTTTGACTCAAAATAAAAAATTATTTTTGACTCGGTGCTCCATGGAGACTCATTTGAGTGTTTAGTGGAACCAGAGCTTAACATCACCCTGTTTGGTGATTCGACAATGTCCCATTAAACGCGAACAAGTAGACAGTAGTCAGAGTGTCAGTGCACCCGGCAAGCTACCACGACACATAATCAAATAAAGACTGGCCACTTATGGAATTGCCCATGCCCAAACACTCCCTAGACCAGAGGTCCATCCCCATAGACCAGAGGTCCTGTCTTACCTATTCTACTCCCCCATTTACTATCGAGAGATTCTGGTAGCTCAATTCTTAATAATTCATTCTCTGTCTCATTTGGCCAGCCATTTTCATAGTCATATTCCACTACCGGATGCTCTTGATAGTAAATTGACTCACGAAATATTTTTAAAATTATGGTTTGCACATCATTATTACTACCAACTGTCCTTGGTAGCTACTTAAGAGAAATTTCCAAATACTTTTCTTTAAAAAAAACTTTTCTGTGACTTCCAAAAAACATTTCATGCACTATGTTTATGTCTCGTATGAAACAAAACAATCTATCATCAATTAAGTACTTAAAAACATCTCCTTCATATATTCAAAATTTTAATTACAATTCATAGTTGTTTTAAGCAAGACAATTTTTATTAATAATTTATTTCATAGGGTTCAGTATTTTGTCCATATCTTGAGTTCTAGACCTCATTTTAAGATGATTCCAATTGTGTTGGAAAGATAAGATAATAATCTATAACTTTGATGAAGACACTATCCTCAAATTCTAACGTTTATTGAGTCGTTTTCCTAGTAAACAAAGAGGGGGTAATATATTGTTTGACTTTATCTCGATTATACCCTTAACCTTTTTCAAAATTCCATTTATGTCCCTAATATGTGAAATGACTATTTTACCCTTGATCTTTTGCAAAAATTCCCACCTAGTCCTTTCTTCTTCCTTCGCTCGCTCAAGCGAGTACACCGGTCGCTTGAGCGAGATGGAACCCGAGAGTCCCCTTTGTTTGAAGGCTTCGTCGCTCAAGCGAGTACATCGGTCGCTTGAGCGAGGCATGACCCGAGAGTCCCCTTTGTTTGAAGCTTTCGTCGCTCAAGCGAGTACACAGGTCGCTTGAGCGAGACATGACCCTTAGTCGCTCAAGCGATGTAATTTTCGCTTGAGCGATAAAGAACCCAAGAATCCCAAATTTTCCAGGTGTCCTCGCTCAAGCGATATATTTTTCGCTTGAGCGAATTTTGCAGATTTTCATCCAGTTCGCCATTTTCGAAATCCGGGTTTCAAATTTCTCAGTTTCAATCACTCAAATTAGTTCCAAATCAAAATTAAACCATAAACATGTTCAATTTAAGTTAAAAACAACAATTTTATTATATAATTCATCCTTAATTGAAAGAATTTCAACAATATTTCAAACTTTGCAATTGATGAATAGTAATCTCCAATTACGAGACATTCGTATGAATAAAACTAAACGTCTAACCCATACCTGGCTCCTTCAAAATCTTATTATTCTCTTAATTTCTTATGCTCCCCTTTCCTCCTTTCTCTCTAATTCTTCTTCTTAGAATTCTGGTGCCTCTCTGTTGGATTTGTAAGTGACGGGAATTGTATGTTTTTGTGTAAGTAAGTTTTCAAATTTCTTCTTATTTATACACTTATCTTACCGACTTATAGTCCTTCTTGAATTTTCTTTAATTTTATTCTCCACCGCCTTATTTCACCGAGCTTAATTCAAAGGTTTTATTGACTTGATCTAAAACTACGGTCCCTGAATACCATTTCTCTCTTTTCGTGATTTTTTTTCTTAATATTTATTTATTCATTTATTTAATTTTATTATTAAGAATTATTATTAAATTATTATTTGACACAATATTAACCTTGGATTTTATTTTATAATTTTCTTAAGACAAAATTACTATAAAAATCATGTTTTATTTTTATAATAACTCTACATAATATTCGGTACATATTTATAACTTACAAAATTTATTTATATAATTGATTGCAAAATTTAGGATATTACAATTCTCCCCTACTAAATAAAATTTCGTCCTCGAAATTTGTAATACATTCTATGTGAATAGATAAGGGTATTCAATTCTCATTTTCTCTTCCAGTTCCCATGTAGCGTCGCCTCTAACATCATCCCAGATAACCTTAACCAGTGGAATATCTTTTCCTCTTAGATGCTTAATCCTTCTTTGTTCAATCTTAACAGGACTTGGTTCAAAGGTGAGGTTTTCCTTCACCTGTACTTGATCAAGTTCTAGGACATGTGTTGGATCTGAAATGTACTTTCTCAATTGTGACACATGGAATACATCATGAAGATTTGAGAGAAAAGGTGGTAAGGCTATCTGGTATGCAACATTTCCAACCCGTTTTGTAATTTGATAAGGCCCAATATATTTAGGGGAAAGTTTCTTAGATTTAATAGCTCTGCCAATTCCCGTAATAGGTGTAACTTTCAAAAATACATGATCTCCTTCTTGAAATTCTAAAGGTTTCCTTCTCCTATCAGGCATAACTTTTACT